AAATAAATAAATAAATAAATAAATAAATAAATAAATAAATAAATCAAGAGGCGGCACTGCGAGACGTATGCCAGCAAAGTTTGATAGCGTACCACTGTGGGCACGCGTGCCATAGGTTCGTCAACCCGCCTACCCATTTGGTCTAAGAGAATTAGGATGGGGCAATAGCTTTAAAACATATGTTCAAGTAAGGATTTTTTAAACACTATTTTCACTGATTCTGACACTTAAATTATTTTCACTTGAGACTTTATGAGATATTGGGAACTATAGCATTAATGGTAGTGGTCCGTAGGTACACCTGACTGTGTGTAGGTGGTGGGGTTGTACACCTGACTGTGTGTAGGTGGTGGGGTTGTACACCTGACTGTGTGTGTAGGTGGTGGGGTTGTACACCTGACTGTGTGTAGGTGGTAGGGTTGTACACCTGACTGTGTGTAGGTGGTGGGGTTGTACACCTGACTGTGTGTGTAGGTGGTGGGGTTGTACACCTGACTGTGTGTGTAGGTGGTGGGGTTGTACACCTGACTGTGTGTGTAGGTGGTGGGGTTGTACACCTGACTGTGTGTGTGGGTGGTGGGGTTGTACACCTGACTGTGTGTGTAGGTGGTGGGGTTGTACACCTGACTGTGTGTGTAGCTGGTGGGGTTGTACACCTGACTGTGTGTGTAGGTGGTGTGGTTGTACACCTGACTGTGTGTAGCTGGTGGGGTTGTACACCTGACTGTGTGTGTAGGTGGTGGGGTTGTACACCTGACTGTGTGTGTAGGTGGTGGGGTTGTACACCTGACTGTGTGTGTAGGTGGTGGGGTTGTACACCTGACTGTGTGTGTAGGTGGTGTGGTTGTACACCTGACTGTGTGTAGGTGGTGGGGTTGTACACCTGACTGTGTGTGTAGGTGGTGGGGTTGTACACCTGACTGTGTGTAGGTGGTGGGGTTGTACACCTGACTGTGTGTGTAGGTGGTGGGGTTGTACACCTGACTGTGTGTAGGTGGTGGGGTTGTACACCTGACTGTGTGTGTAGGTGGTGGGGGATGCATATCCCTTGTGGTCAGCGTTTATAATTTTGACTTTCAGGAGGTGTGGTGTGTTAGGTGAGGTGGGTGTGTGTGTGTGCGGGGCAGGCGGGGCTTGTGCCTTTTTTTCCTGCTCCTGTCTCTGGTCCGAACACTTTCACCTTTTGAGTTGGGAGGCCGTGTGCCCCTTCTAGTGAACGGGGACGACCTAGGGACGACCTCCCCTCGCCTGGATACAGCTTCTCTAGTCCTCACTGTAACCTAAGGGTCGTCGTACTTTCTAAATCCAGCTTCATTTTGATGCGCTTAGCTGCTTTTTTTGTGTTGTATTTTTGTTTTAGTAATTTATGGAGTCGTGAGGGTTGTAGGCAAGTGTAAAACAGTACTTAAGTAGTGTGTTAAGTGTTTCTGTAGTGGGGTGAGGTTGCAGGGGGGGGGGAGGGACACGTAGCCAGGCAGGAGATTGCAATGAGTGTGAGGAGAGGCTCTCAAGATACGTCTTGAACATTTCCTCCATACTCTCTACCTTCACTAAGGTCAGCATGTACTAGGGGACCAGGTTCACGAAGCAGTTACGCAAGCACTTACGAGCCTGTATATCTTTTCTCAATATTTGGCGGCTTTGTTTACCATTGTTAAACAGTTAATGAGCTCCGAAGCACCAGGAGGCCGTTTATAACAATAACAACAGTTGATTGGGAAGTTTTCATGCTTGTAAACTGTTTAATAAATGAAACCAAAGCCGTCAAAGATTGAGGAAAGATGTACACGTTCGTAAATGCTTGCGTAACTGCTTCGTGAATCTCGGCGTAGGTGCCGTAGTTCACACTCACACAGCCTCACACTTGGTTACATTGCTGTACTTTCCGCCAAGTACTGTAACTCTACCCCCACCACAACTACCCTTCCCCAGCGTCTTCTGACCAGACGCTAACAAGTTGTTATTATAGATTCAGCTACTGGGAACAAAACGTTCCAAGTAGCACTGGCTATGGTGATCCCGTAGAGGACTTACCTGGCACAGGAGCGGGGGCTGTAACTGGGAGCTAACAAGGTGGACAGGACCTTGTATAGTGGGTGGGCGGCCGCTCCCTCCCTACCACACCCTCGTCAAGTCTCCATCTTCCCCAATATTCCTCATTTGTTCTCAGCACACCTAGCAATGTCTTCTCTTGTCCTTCTGGAGCAGCTGTGTCCTGTCAACTCATAAGACTAGAGCCATCTGGTCGCCGTAGTTCTCAGTGCTGTAGTTACCCCGTTCTCTTAGTGTTGGTGTAGGAGCACAGAGATGGGCGGGTCTTGGTGTAGGGTGCACAATAATGTGTATGTTTCAGTACCGCTACATGTTGCAGCGCCGTCACATGTTGCAGCGCCGTCACATGTTGCAGCTCCGTCACATGTTGCAGCTCCGTCACATGTTGCAGCGCCGTCACATGTTGCAGCGCCGTCACATGTTGCAGAGCCGTCACATATTGCAGCGCCGTCTCATGTTGCAGCGCCGCCACATATTGCAGCGCCGCCACATGTTGCAGAACCGCCACATATTGCAGCTCCGTCACATATTGCAGGGCCGTCACATGTTGCAGCACCGCCACATGTTGCAGCTCCGTCACATGTTGCAGAGTCACCACATGTTGCAGCGCCGTCACATATTGCAGCGCCGTCACATATTGCAGCGCCGTCACGTGTTGTAGCGCCGTCACATGTTTCAGGGCCGCCACATGTTGCAGCGCCGTCACATGTTGCAGCGCCGTTGCAGCGCCGTCACATGTTGCAGCGCCGTCACATATTGCAGCGCCGCCACATGTTGCAGCGCCGCTACATGTTTCAGGGCCACCACATATTACAGCGCCGTCACATGTTGCAGCGCCGTCACATGTTGCAGCGCCGTCACATATTGCAGCGCCGCCACATGTTGCAGCGCCGCTACATGTTTCAGGGCCGCCACATGTTACAGCGCCGTCACATATTGCAGCGCCGCCACATGTTGCAGCGCCGCTACATGTTTCAGGGCCGCCACATGTTACAGCGCCGTCACATGTTGCAGCGCCGCTACATGTTTCAGCGCCGCCACATGTTGCAGCGCCGTCACATATTGCAGGGCCGCCACATGTTACAGCGCCGCCACATGTTGCAGCGCCGTCACATATTGCAGCGCCGCCACATGTTGCAGCGCCGTCACATATTGCAGCGCCGCCACATGTTGCAGCGCCGCCACATGTTGCAGCTCCGTCACATATTGCAGCGCCGCCACATGTTGCAGCGCCGTCACATATTGCAGCGCCGCCACATATTGCAGCGCCGTCTCATGTTGCAGCGCCGTCACATATTGCAGCGCCGCCACATGTTACAGCGCTGCCACATATTGCAGCGCCGTCACATGTTGCAGCGCCGTCACATGTTGCAGCACCGCCACATGTTGCAGCTCCGTCACATATTGCAGCGCCGCCCCATATTGCAGCGCCGTCACATGTTGCAGCGCCGTCACATGTTGCAGCACCGCCACATGTTGCAGCACCGCCACATGTTGCAGCTCCGTCACATATTGCAGCGCCGCCCCATATTGCAGCGCCGTCACATATTGCAGCGCCGTCACATATTGCAGCGCCGCCACATGTTGCAGCGCCGCCACATATTGCAGCGCCGTCACATGTTGCAGCTCCGTCACATATTGCAGCTCCGCCACATATGGCAGCTCCGTCACATGTTGCAGAGCCGTCATATATTGCAGCGCCGTCACATGTTGCAGCGCCGTCACATGTTGCAGCACCGCCACATGTTGCAGCACCGCCACATGTTGCAGCTCCGTCACATATTGCAGCGCCGCCCCATATTGCAGCGCCGTCACATATTGCAGCGCCGCCACATGTTGCAGCGCCGCCACATATTGCAGCGCCGTCACATGTTGCAGCTCCGTCACATATTGCAGCTCCGCCACATATGGCAGCTCCGTCACATGTTGCAGAGCCGTCATATATTGCAGCGCCGCCACATGTTGCAGCTCCGCCACATATTGCAGCTTCGTCACATATTGCAGCTCCGCCACGTGTTGCAGAGCCGCCACGTGTTGTATCGCCGTCACATGTTGCAGCGCCGTCACATGTTGCAGCGCCGTCACATGTTGCAGCTCCGCCACATGTTGCAGCGCCGTCACATATTGCAGTGCCGTCACATATTGCAGCGCCGTCACATATTGCAGCGCCGCCACATGTTGCAGCGCCGTCACATATTGCAGCGTCGTCATATGTTGCAGCGCCGCCACATATTGCAGCTCCGTCACATATTGCAGCGCCGCCACATGTTGCAGCTCCGTCACATATTGCAGCTCCGTCACATATTGCAGAGCCGCCACGTGTTGTATCGCCGTCACATGTTGCAGCGCCGCCACATATTGCAGCGCCGTCACATATTGCAGCGCCGTCACATATTGCAGCGTCGTCTCATGTTGCAGCGCCGCCACATGTTGCAGCGCCGTCACATGTTGCAGCACCGCCACATGTTGCAGCACCGCCACATGTTGCAGCGCCGCCACATATTGCAGCGCCGTCACATATAGCAGTGCCGTCACATATTGCAGCGCCGTCACATGTTGCAGCGCCGTCACATGTTGCAGCGCCGTCACATATTGCAGCGCCGCCACATGTTGCAGCGCCGTCACATATTGCAGCGCCGCCACATATTGCAGCGCCGTCACATGTTGCAGCGCCGTCACATGTTGCAGCGCCGCCACATGTTGCAGCGCCGTCACATGTTGCAGCACCGCCACATGTTGCAGCTCCGCCACATGTTGCAGCGCCGCCACATGTTGCAGCACCGTCACATATTGCAGCGCCGTCACATATTGCAGCGCCGCCACATGTTGCAAGCGCCGCCACATGTTGCAGCACCGTCACATCTTGCAGCGCCGTCTCATGTTGCAGCGCCGTCCCCTATTGCAGCGCCGCCACATGTTGCAGCGCCGTCACATATTGCAGCGCCGTCTCATGTTGCAGCGCCGTCACATATTGCAGCTCCGCCACATGTTGCAGCTCCGTCACATATTGCAGCTCCGCCACATATGGCAGCTCCGTCACATGTTGCAGAGCCGTCATATATTGCAGCGCCGCCACATGTTGCAGCTCCGCCACATATTGCAGCTCCGTCACGTGTTGCAGAGCCGCCACGTGTTGTATCGCCGTCACATGTTGCAGCACCGTCACATATTGCAGCGCCGTCACATATTGCAGCCCCGTCACATGTTGCAGCGCCGCCACATGTTGCAGCGCCGTCACATGTTGCAGCGCCGTCACATGTTGCAGCGCCGTCACATGTTGCAGGGCCGCCACATGTTGCAGAGCCGTCACATATTGCAGCGCCGCCACATGTTGCAAAGCCGTCACATATTGCAGCGCCGTCACATATTGCAGCGCCGTCACATGTTGCAGCGCCGTCACATGTTGCAGCGCCGTCACATGTTGCAGCTCCGTCACATATTGCAGCGCCGTCACATGTTGCAGCTCCGTCACATATTGCAGCGCCGCCACATATTACAGCGCCGTCACATGTTGCAGCGCCGCCACATGTTGCAGCTCCGTCACATGTTGCAGCTCCGTCACATATTGCAGCGCCGCCACATATTACAGCGCCGTCACATGTTGCAGCGCCGCCACATGTTGCAGCTCCGTCACATATTGCAGCGGCGCCACATATTACAGCGCCGTCAAAGGTTGCAGCTCCGTCACATATTGCAGCGCCGACACATGTTGCAGCTCCGTCACATATTGTAGCCCCGTCACATGTTGCAGCTCCGTCACATATTGCAGCGCCGTCACATGTTGCAGCTCCGTCACATATTGCAGCGCCGTCACATTGCAGCGCCGACACATGTTGCAGCGCCGTCACATGTTGCAGCTCCGTCACATGTTGTAGCGCCTTCACATGTTGCAGCTCCGTCACATATTGCAGCGCCGACACATGTTGCAGCTCCGTCACATATTGCAGCGCCGTCACATGTTGCAGCTCCGTCACATGTTGCAGCGCCGCCACATTGCAGCGCCGTCACATGTTGCAGCTCCGTCACATGTTGCAGCGCCGTCACATTGCAGCGCCGTCACATGTTGCAGCTCCGTCACATGTTGCAGCGCCGTCACATTGCAGCTCCGTCACATGTTGCAGCTCCGTCACATGTTGCAGCGCCGTCACATTGCAGCGCCGACACATGTTGCAGCTCCGTCACATGTTGCAGCGCCGACACATGTTGCAGCTCCGTCACATATTGCAGCGCCGTCACATGTTGCAGCTCCGTCACATGTTGTAGCGCCTTCACATGTTGCAGCTCCGTCACATGTTGCAGCTCCGTCACATGTTGCAGCTCCGTCACATGTTGCAGCGCCGTCACATTGCAGCGCCGTCACATTGCAGCGCCGTCACATGTTGCAGCTCCGTCACATGTTGCAGCTCCGTCACATGTTGCAGCGCCGCCACATGTTGTAGCGCCGACATATGTTGCAGCGCCGACATATGTTGCAGCGCCGACATATGTTGTAGCGCCGACACATGTTGCAGCGCCGACACATGTTGCAGCTCCGTCACATGTTGCAGCGCCGACACATGTTGCAGCGCCGCCACATGTTGCAGCGCCGACACATGTTGCAGCGCCGACACATTTTGCAGCGCCGACACATTTTGCAGCGCCGATACATGTTGCAGCGCCGACACATGTTGCAGCGCCGACACATGTTGCAGCGCCGACACATGTTGCAGCGCCGACACATTTTGCAGCGCCGACACATGTTGCAGTGCCGACACATTTTGCAGCGCCAATACATGTTGCAGCGCCGACACATGTTGCAGCGCCGTCACATGTTGCAGCGCCGACACATGTTGCAGCCCCGACACATGTTGCAGCCCCGACACATGTTGCAGCCCCGACACATGTTGCAGCGCCGACACATGTTGCAGCGCCGACACATGTTGCAGCCCCGACACATGTTGCAGCACCGACACATGTTGCAGCGCCGTCACATGTTGCAGCGCCGACACATGTTGCAGCGCCGTCACATGTTGCAGCGCCGACACATGTTGCAGCCCCGACACATGTTGCAGCCCCGACACATGTTGCAGCCCCGACACATGTTGCAGCGCCGACACATGTTGCAGCCCCGACACATGTTGCAGCGCCGACACATGTTGCAGCGCCGACACATGTTGCAGCGCCGACACATGTTGCAGCGCCGTCACATGTTGCAGCCCCGCCACATATTGCAGCGCCGCCACATATTGCAGCGCCGCCACATGTTGTAACACTGCCGCACGCTGCAACACTGCCACATTTTGAAGCTCCAACACATGATAGAGCGACGCAGCATGCTGCAGCGACGCCGCGGGTAGCGCCGTCATGTACTGCAGTACTGGGTGCAGCTGGTGATGGTCTTGAAGCAGCGTGGCGAAGCGTATAGTGCTCAGGGGACCACTGGGGCGGCCGGGCAGGCAGGAGTATTTGGGACGGGTGTCTAGTTGCCTGTCATGACCCATGGTAATATGTGGTGAATGACTTGCTCCCACCTCCACTACAGCCCCGGTACGCACTCTTACCTCTCCTGGTCCTAAAGGTCACTCTTACTCCAGCTCTCTCTCTCTCTCTCTCTCTCTCTCTCTCTCTCTCTCTCTCTCTCTCTCTCTCTCTCTCTCTCTCTCTCTCTCTCTCTCTCTCTCTCTCTCTCTCTCTCTCTCTCTCTCTCTCTCTCTCTCTCTCTCTCTCGGTATAGAGGTGGTAAGGCTGAGCAGTAACATAGGATACAATATGCAAATAAACCATAAACATTTTACTAAACACTTTTTAAATGTAAAGACGGTAAGCACAATCGACGAACTAGACACGGAAATTGCAGCGACTGCCTCAAGACATATATTTTTTTACAAATATATGGCCACTAAAAATGGGGTCGGGAGTCAATTCGTTAAACGACCGATAATTGGAAAAACTGGACCCACAAGGTGAAGACCGGGTCTGCATTCTTCGTTCGGTAAGAGTACACACGCACACACACATAACCTAATTATATATATTTATATATATATATATATATATATATATATATATATATATATATATATATATATATATATATATATATATACATGAGTGTAGCACTCCAGATGTAAACACACAGTCCTGGACACTCCAGATGTAAACACACAGTCCTGGATACTCCAGGTGTAAACACAGTCCTGGACACTCCAGATGTAAACACACAGTCCTGGACACTCCAGGTGTAAACTCCCACAGTCATCCCAGCACTCCAGGTGTAAACTCCGCCACCAGCAACTGAGTCATAACCTCGCATAATGTATTATTAAGTGGTCATTTGAGCCTTCAGATGTGCCGGTATGAACTACCTACAGCTCGGCAATTACCTTATCCACTCATTGTTTGGATGAGATCTTCATAACCCGTCCCAAACTTTGCCAGGGCGGGAAAGTGATCACGCGTAACCCTCTTCATGGAGTCTTAAGGCAATGGAGTAAATAATGGAATACATTAGTTGATTAAAATAAACACACGGAATAAGCGCTACAGCTGTAGTGTTGTGCACGGAGGAGAGGTGGTTTGTCTTGAAAATACATTAAAGAGTATTGTGTAAAAATAATTTTGGGTATATTTAGGCTTAGGTTAGGTCAGGTTAAGTCAGGTTAGGTTAGGTCAGGTCAGGTCAGGTTAGGTCAGGTTAGGTTAGCTTAGGGCAGGTCAGGTTAGGTTAGGTCAGGTTAGGTTAGCTTAGGTCAGGTCAGGTCAGGTCAGGTCAGGTCAGGTTAGGTCAGGTCAGGTCAGGTCAGGTCAGGTCAGGTTAGGGCAGGTCAGGTCAGGTCAGGTCAGGTTAGGTTAGGTGTTTGGAGGAGGGAACCTGTTGTAGGACGGAGGAGTGACATATGTCACCTCTGTGATATGTCCACTTTGACACACACACACATATGGAACATGTGTTCCGTATATAATAATAGTACGCCATATATATACACATGAGTGCCAGATGTGGTCTGCTACTACCCCCCCCCCTCTCCCCTGCTCCACAAATACACTGTTCACCCTGAAAAACCGGTTGTGGGAGGTTGGCCTCCTGCTTAACTGCTGAGCAATTGTTGCTAAAAGTAGCGCTAGTATAGCGGCACGAGATGAAGCACCTACCTGCTGGCTGGAGTGGCCGGGGTCTACACGTTAATAGATAACTAGTTATCTATTATCTATCTATTATCTAGACTAGCGTGTTCTTGGAGGTCAGGTCACTCACTTCACCTGGGAGATGATCACCACGTCGCCAGGTGTCACCCACGCCCGTGTTGGTGGGTGGGTGGTGTCTCCCACGCCCATGTTGGTGGGTGGGTGGTGTCTCCCACGCCCGTGTTGGTGGGTGGGTGGTGTCTCCCACGCCCATGTTGGTGGGTGGGTGGTGTCTCCCACGCCCGTGTTGGTGGGTGGGTGGTGTCTCCCACGCCCGTGTTGGTGGGTGGGTGGTGTCTCCCACGCCCGTGTTGGTGGGTGGGTGGTCTCTCCCACGCCCACATTAACGTGAGAGGCCAGAGTATGAGGTGTGTAAAGGGCTGATTGGCCAATCCGTCCTCGCACTTAATATACGTCACATTTTTACGGTCAACTAATCGTTAAAAATACGACGTGTTAGTAATAATCACAGCGCCGTAATATTAACATTTTCTATGCCTCGGCTTCAATATTTTAGGTTAGATGCTTTTCACATGAGGCTTCTGGTTAGGCTAAACCACTGCGTTTCTTACGGAATGGTAAACAACAGGACGGACGTCTCCAAGGACCCAGAACCCGGTATTTCCTAGTCGGGGCAAAAAAAAAAAAACACGTTCCTGGAGACATTAAAGTATCTTAGAGCCACTATACGGCACCCAGGAGACGTTATGGCACCCCGGGAGACACTAGACATCTCGACATGTGATAATAGTCTGGTTGATACAAACACAATAGTCATCGAGACACTGCGGTAACATGTCATAAGACATCTAACACTCTTTCGTAACACATTCACAGACTTCCATGGGAAATCCATTGTAACCCCTCGAGGCGATCACAGCTAACGTCGGTGTGTGTGTGTGTGTGTGACTCAGCAAGCTGTGGTGTACATCAAGACGTGCACACACACACACTGCTGGTGTGTGTGTGTGTGTGTGTCAGGTCAGCGGCGGAGGTAGGAACTAGGTGACCGACATGCTAACGTTTTTCTGGTTTGACGCACTCAAACACGCAAGCATGTGCATGCACTCAACACTGAGGGGGATAAAGTGCAGTGAACGACTGACGCACTCAAATACGCAAACACATTCATGTACTCAACATAGAGGGAGTTAAAGTACAGTAAACAACTGAGGCACTTAATTACACTTGAGAAAGTAGGAAGTATTTATAATAACGTTATAGAAGGTGAAGGATGAGTTAGAGGATGCTCCCGGACGCAGGTTCGAATCCTCGTCACGGCCCTTGTGGATTTGTTCATTTGTTGATGAGTTAGAGGCTCTGTGGTGAGGTCTCGGGAGATAAGGTACAGCTTCCAGTTGGTCTCAAGTGTATACGAGGAGTATGACAGGTCTGGACGCTGTGGACGAACCAGCGTGAAGTTTATACATGTAGGCGCGGTGACCTCTTGACGGCGGGTTTTCAACGAGACAATGAAATCATTCTAGTAATATAAGTATCTACCAGCACACCACAACGACTACAGCCTCCACAACCACTATCACCACTATAAAGTTGCTCTGCACAATAACAATTAAATGGTGTTAACAGGTGGCTGCTAGAGTTCAACTACATACATGCTGAGAAATGACGGCACGTCCTGTGGGGGGGAAGGTAGTTGCTCCTGGAGCCCTACAGGGAAACACAACACAGGATGAACAAGTGAAGCACACACACATTAAATAATGTGAGCTGCTTATGTACAGTTGACCAATATAAAAGGAGTCAGTGGTTCAGGAAGCTGTGTCCTTCACTATGCAGCGTCAGCATGGTGGTATCCACGGGGTCTTGATACATCACGCTTAAATGTCCGCTTACGAAACCTGTACATCTTTCGTCGTTCAGGGAGGCTTTATTTGTATTTATTAAACCGTTTACGAGGTTGTCTATAACAACAACCTTGGGTTGTTAAGCTTGGAAGCTCGTAATATTGTTTAATAAATGCAAACACAGCCGTCATGAT